CCAGCCCCCCCACCTCCCCCTCCCGCTCCCGAAATAAAACCGCCGGGACCCAGAAGCCGAGGCTTCGCGCCCGGCCCGCCCGCGCGCGCGCAGGGCTCCTGCGTTCACACAGTCTGTAGGGTGGAGCAGGAGCAGCCTGGATGCACGCTGCGACCTTAGGTAACGTGCTCCGGAGGCGGGAGGCCGGGGACCCGGCCGGCGTTTCCTGCCCGCTCCAGGCTGGCAGCCGCCTTGCCATGGCGCAGCCTGTCGTTGAGTGTGTCGGTGTGCACCTCGCCGGTGTCTTCTGCGTGTTGTCAGTGCTGTGTGACTGTTGTCTGTGCCCCAGAACGTAACGACAGGCGCGCTGCGCGCGGCCCAGGCGGCTGGGCCAGGGCTGGGATGGGGGCACGGCTCCACTTGCCCTTACGTTCTGCAGACCTTCGGGGGACGCTCGGGTCGTTGCCCGGACCTCTGACTGTCGTTTCCACCCCCACACTCCCAACCTTAATGCGTTCCGCGTCACTACTCTTTATTAACTGGTGAGGCAACAGGAAGGAAGGGAACCTCACTCTGGGGGGGGCCAGGCCCGCGGGTCTCCTGGTGGGTCTCCTCGCTGCCGGACTTGCAGGCGAGGGGGGGTGCGCGGGGGGGACGAGCGGAGAGGACTCCTCTCTCTCCCGGCTCCTCCATTCCTTCGCAAGAGCAGGACTCCCCGCCTGCAGTGTCCCATCCGAAAGGTTACAGTGTTGCATGTTTCAGGTTGAATACTGCCGAAGGGAAGAGACATTTCTGACCGTAACTAGGCTGTCAATTGTGGGCTAGAAAGTACTGTAAGTCTCCTGCAAGGACCAAGGATAATGTGCACCCGACCTGAGTAGCATGACGCAGCGTTTAATTAGTCCACTTTGGAGATTTCATATCAGCCTTCCAAACAAGACTTGTAAGACTGAAGAATTCTGATCAAAACTTTTGGAAACCAGTTGGAAACGTAAAAATTGAGTGATCCATTGAATAGGGGCTGGGGAGTGGGGTGCCTTAAAGGGTGGGATATGTGTGTCCTTTTAAAAGTTTGCATCAGTGGAAAGCGCTTCAGAGGATTTCTTCATGATGGGATGAAATGCTAAGTCTGCCAAGATAAGGGATGCGTCCTGCCAAGTTAAAAAGAACGGCTTGTGTGGGTCACGCAGAACATAGAGAACACACGAGTGATTTGCTAGAAGTTGAGATGAGACCCAGGCTGAAAAGGCTCCAAACAGACTTCAACTGGCAAAAAGTTTCACATAGGCTTTTTTTTGTGTGTGTGTGTGTGTGCCTTTTACTGATGAAGTACACTATTGACTGTGATCACTGATGTAAACACACACAACTGCTTGACTCAACTACCTTTTATAAACAGGGTGTAGGGCGGGGAGGGGGCTACTGAGCGAAGTAGGCAGGGGGAGGTGTTAGGTCAGAGCACTAGCAGCGGTAGCGAAGTGGGACCACCCGCCAGCGGGGTCGGCGGAAGCTGCTCCTGCCCGGCGGCGCCGGCTCTCCCGGCCTCTCTACCTGCGAGTGTGGATCCACAACTCGGGTGCCCCCCCCCCCTCCGTGACTCTTCTCCCTGCACGCTCACCGTCGCCCCTTGCTTTATCTTCTCCGTCGGCTGCCCGGGCGCCCACCGCGCTGCGCCACCGTCACCGGGGTAGGTCCCTGAATTCTGCGGTCAGACCTCCGGAGCGCCGGCTCCCGTGTTTGGAGCTCATCAATTTGGGTTGCGTTCAGATCCCTTGCCTTCCCCTCCACCTATGCCAAGAATCCCTTTCATATAAATGGTATTTTTATATGTATAACTTGACCTCTAACTTCTACCTTGAAGCCCGCAACAGAAAGAGAATGCAGCCAGTTTTCTGTGTGTTGGGAAGGGGTGGGACCTCTGCCTCCCTCTTCGCTACCGGGTTGGAAAATCTGCGCCTACCCCCAAATTGTACGAAGACCCTTTTTTGCACACTATGTCAGTAGAGGTGGCATTTTACTGACTTTCTTTTCTAAGAATAGAGACTTAATAATTCACTGCAGGCTAGTTCACTTTAACCCTAGACCAGATCGCCCCTGAACAGTGTTAATTCCATGAAAATTTTATGCAAGCGTGGTTCATTTTTATCATGATAAAATCTGCTCTGGAATGAATGGATTAAACCCAAATTCACTTATTTGGAAAGGTGTTTGGAGGTCTGACTTCTTTCCCTTGAGCCATTTACACATCTCATTCCATCTTAACAGAAAATACAAATTCTTTATCCACAGGGAGGGAAGTGCTTTTCAGATGGACATGGATTAGAATAACCAAGATTACCATTTAGGAAAAGTGTGGGAAGGCGCATAAAATCCCCATAGAACGTACGACTGATATTCCTTTATCCAGTTCTCGCCTTCTCGTTTCATACATCCCAGGACAACCTCACGCGTCCCCCTAGATGCCCAGCCCTCATAAAAGAAAAAGGGAGAAAAACACCCTCCCGTGAAGTCAGTTTGCGCGCTATTTTTAGCTTTTTTCGTACCATAGTGACACATTATTTCCTTCCCAAATATTTCTAACGATTTTCTGCTCATGGGTAAGATAATGGAGCAAAGAGTTTGCAGGGATGGCAAAGAGTAGAGGGGATGGGGAAGGCGTTTTTGATAAACGGTTGTTGCTCGCGGGAGGGGAACAGTATTTCTGAGGACTCTCCAGGCCGAAATTTTTTTCTTTTTTCTTCCTCCTCTTCTCTGTCTTCTTCTTTTAAAGAAGGGCCTGGTTTGGACGACTTTGTCTGTCTTCCAGGTTTGAAAGCTCTTGCTCCCGACTAGAGCCTTCGCCTTCGGTTTTTCTTCAGAGAAAGCCTTTCCCCCC